CGCTCACCGGCAGGCAGCGACTGGCCATCGGGAGGACCGGGAGGGTGTGTGTCTGTGTGGCGCGAGAGAGGCACACCTTATTGTTGTTGTTGTTAGCATCTGGTGCTAGCTAGCTGCGCTAACGGATATAAGGAGCTGTTTCAATGAAAACAGAGGAGCGACATTTCGCCGACAACTGCGCCGAGCACTTGACTTTATGCAGGTAGCCAGACAGCGGGGCATTGTGGGAACAGTCAGCACACTCAGCAAGGATAGAGCGCACACACACACACACACACACACACACACACACACACACACACGATTAACTATTTTAATCGACTGACAGCCCTAGTTATAATAAACATACTGTATGTTAAATGGATATATCCGCCTTCTTTCATTTATCTTTCCATTCCCAAAACAATATACATAAAGAAATGATATATTTTGGAAATAGTTCGAATGGTGATTAATCTGATTCATTCATTTGAATCGTTTGACAGCCCTAATCTTTTTATATTATATCACATTTTCTAAAATCTAAAAGACTTTATATTTTTTGTACGATCTATTTTTACACTTGTATGTTTTCTGTAATGTTTCGAAAATACTAGTTTAATAATATTTATGTTCGTTTATAAGAATATTTGATCTTTTACTTTTATTTGATTTCATTATCTTTCCTTGTAAAGCATTAACTCCTTCCTCTCTGACATCTCCTCCCCTCTTCAGATGACTCTCCCCCCCCTGCCTCGCCTCCCCAACTGGACTCCGACTCCCAGCATGCACCTCTGCGCCCGGTGAAGCTGGAGCCGGGCAGCACCATGTGTGAGGTGTGTGGCAAAGTGATGAAGAACAAGGCGAGCCTGGCGCGCCACTCCTTCATCCACACGGGTCAGAAACCCTTCGCCTGCCACCTGTGCGAGCTGCGCTTCAACCGCAGAGACAACCTGCAGCACCACCTGACCCGCCTGCACCCCGAAGGAGCAAAGCACCGCCAGAAACATCGCCCGGCGCCCGCGTGGCTCTGCTCCGCCTGCGGGAAGACCTTCAGCTGCCGATCACGCCTCAAAACGCACGAAGTCATCCATTCGGGGGTGAAACCGTTCCGCTGCGATTTGTGTCCCAAAGCGTACATGAGAACCAACGACCTGGAGCACCACAAGAAAATCGTGCATGTGGACGTCGACGGTGGAGAGAAACCGCCGCCGGTCAGCTCGTTGCTCTGCGATTTCTGTGGTAAAGAGTTCCCGTGCCGCTCGCAGCTCGCCGTGCACTTCCAGGTTCACACGGGCGAGCGGCCGCACCTCTGCGACATCTGCGGGCGGAAATTCGGACGCCAGTATCAGCTGAACCGCCACAAGATCCTGGTGCACAGCAGCAGCACGTTGGACAGCCCGCCGCCTGACGCCCCGTTCCCCTGCAGCGTCTGTGGGAAGCGCCTGAAGTCAGAGGCGCTTCTCGCCGCGCACAGCCGCATTCACTCTGCGGAGCGAACGCACCGATGTGTCCTCTGTCCGCGCAGCTTCCACCGCGCCGCCTCCCTGAAGCAGCACCACGACCGCGTTCACCTCAGAAACATCAGCCACGGGGCGCAGAATCACAACCGCAGGAAGAGCCACGTCGCGTCATCCAAAGAGTTCCCGTGTTCGATCTGTGGAAAGGTGTTCAAGTTCCGCTCGTTGTTGTCGAGTCACGCTCTGATCCACAGCGACCAGCGGCCGTACGGATGCGACTTCTGCAGCCGAAGCTTCCGGCGCCTCGGACACCTGAAGCGCCACCGAGAGGTCGTCCACGCCAACGGAGAGAGGCCCGCGCAGTCCTTCGTCTGCCACATCTGTGGGAAGGACAAGAAGTGCCGCTCGCAGCTGCAGCGCCACGTCATCATCCACACGGGGGAGCGGCCGCACGGCTGCGAGCTCTGCGGCGCCAGGTTCAACCGCAGCGGGAACCTGCAGCAGCACAGGAAGCGCATGCATGGAGAGGGGGGGGGGGCAGCTGAGGAGGAGGAACCGCACATCCTGTTTGACGACGACACGATGCCGGCGCTCGCCTACAAACAGGAAGAGACGGTGGTGGCTGTCGGCGACACGGTCTGCGAGGAGATGGAGGAGCAGATCGGTCCCTGAACACAACGTCTGCTCTAAGACTCTGACTCTGAGGAACCTGGAGCTGACCGTGTGGTTGTTCTGCAGGAGAACGTGAACGTGTGGTTGTTCTGCAGGAGAACGGAACGTGTGGTTGTTCTGCAGGAGAACGTGAACGTGTGGTTGTTCTGCAGGAGAACGTGAACGTGTGGTTGTTCTGCAGGAGAACGTGAACGTGTGGTTGTTCTGCAGGAGAACGTGAACGTGTGGTTGTTCTGCAGGAGAACGTGTGGTTGTTCTGCAGGTGAACGTGAACGTGTGGTTGTTCTGGAGGAGAACGTGAACATGTGGTTGTTCTGCAGGAGAACGTGAACGTGTGGTTGTTCTGCAGGAGAACGTGAACGTGTGGTTGTTCTGCAGGAGAACGAGAACGTGTGGTTGTTCTGCAGGAGAACGTGAACGTGTGGTTGTTCTGCAGGAGAACGAGAACGTGTGGTTGTTCTGCAGGAGAACGTGAACGTGTGGTTGTTCTGCAGGAGAACGTGAACGTGTGGTTGTTCTGCAGGAGAACGTGAACGTGTGGTTGTTCTGCAGGAGAACGTGAACGTGTGGTTGTTCTGCAGGAGAACGTGTGGTTGTTCTGCAGGAGAACGTGTGGTTGTTCTGCAGGAGAACGTGAACGTGTGGTTGTTCTGCAGGAGAACGTGAACGTGTGGTTGTTCT